TTTCCCAAGCAGGCAGCCAGGCCTGGCCTGGGAACCAAGAAAACCCTAGAGGAAAGTGGCCTGCTGTTGCCCCTCATTCCTTAATCACTATTTTGCTTTCCCTACATGACTTCCTTTTAGGAAGAGTTGGAAGGAAAGCATTTCTAACTCAAAAATCTTTAAACATGTGTACGCCTTCCTTTGGTTTTAGCTTTGACTTCCATCCATCAATCAAAATCTATTAAAGTTTGAAGCCCTGGATAATGTAACTAATCAGAACTTTTTTCTTCATGACCCTTCCAGCATCTGAAGGCAGCTTTCCAACTTTTCATTCGGCCTACTCCCTTAAAAAAAAAAAAAAAAAAAAAAAAAAAGAAAAAAAAAAAAAAAAAAAGACTTAGCGATTGGAATCAGCCCTGCAGCTCTCCAGAAAGATAAAGATAAGAAAGTTCACTGGCTCACCAAAGTAAGGAAGTAATTTTCAGTGAAATGCTTTTAGCTAAAAGAATTCTAGCAATATGTTGATATTCAAAACTATTTTGCTACTGGTCTGGCTTAGTAATCTAGGATCTGAGTCTTACTAAAATCCAACTTTAAAGAAACATTATATTTTATACTGATCACATATGTATATAAAGTGTTGGCAGTTTTGAGACATAATTCTTTTACCTGCATCCATTAAGGCCAAGCTTCCACCACATGCAGACGCCATAGAAGAGGACCCTATAGAAAGGAAAATACTTGCTTTATAATACATATTTTGAAATAATTTATAATTTTTTTAAATGTAGAAAATTATCATCAGTTATTCCCTTAAAAATATTCAATAGTTTTTATTTCCATGCTTTTAATAACTTAACAGTTTATTCTGAGCATCACTCAGGAAGGTGTCATTTCAACTGATTCTAATATTGAATAAATCTGATAAAACTCATTTTTATATTTCCTATATTATCTTATAAAAATTAATAAAATGCGATTTTTGGTTATCCTGTATTTAAATAATTGGATTGTAAGCGGTTAAAAGCACATAAGTCACAAACTACAGAGCTGCATGGTCCAATATGGTAACTATAAGACATATTAGGCTACTTATTAACTGAAATAAATTTGGTTCTTAACGAAGACTATAAATATATAAAATGTTTTCATTATCAAAAATAATTCCCTTGGATAGTATTGCCATAGAAATTCTGGTTCTGTGACCCTCCAAAAGGACTAGCAATACTGTTTTTACTGCCTTACTCAAACGGTAAAGAAATCCGGGTGTGGTAGCACATGCCTGTAATCCCAGCACTCAGGAGGCTGAGGCAGGAGGATCACTGTGAGTTCAAGACCAGCCTGGGCTACATAGTAAGTTCCAGGTCATTCTCAACTACATAGCGAGACCCTGTCTCAAAAAACCAAAGGGTGAAGACATAGGGCTCTGTCTCTGTGATAGGACTCTTAAGTCCAGTTACACACAGTAGACAACAGAAATGACTATAGTTTAAATTCTGAGCTTTGGTGCTTTTCTCTTAAAATCAGTGACCATCTGATCTATTTAAGAATGTAACAGGGAATCTGGTCTTTCTACTGGGGAAGAAATATTTTGATACTATACCATTTGACTCTAGAACTTCAGATGTAACTCTTACAGTGAAAGGAAAATCTTTGGGAATAACAGGATACAAAGCTTTCTCTGCAAGAGCACCTAAATTAGAAAAGAATATAAAATAAGCAAGAAAATGTACTGAATCACTGTAAGAACACATACAAGCTTACAGATTTGTACTCACCATGCCCAAGTTCTCTCCTATTTATTCCAGTGACTTTGCCAGTTTCATTAGTTGCATAAGGAGGAAACTTAAAAAATAAAAAAAAAAAGATTCATATAAATTGACACAAAAAGATGCCAATGATGTTACACAAATAAAACAAGCAGAATCCTGTTTTTTTTAAAAAAATACATTTATGGGCCAAAGGTTCAGCTAGTGGTTGCCACATCTAGCTCACAAGCGCCAAGGTCCTGAGTTCAATCCTTGGTACCAAAAAAAAAAAAAAAAAAAAAAAAAAAAAAAAAAAAAAAAAAAAAAAAAAAAAAAAAGTATATTTATATATACAAGTGAATTAGGGGGTGGAAAGTGGATGGTTATGGGAATTTACACCACACATTTCCATACTGTTTATTTAAACAACAATGTATTTTTGTAATAATAAACATTTTAAAAGTATATATTGAGATACATATCTTTTTGATAAGGATTTTATTTTAGGCAGGTTATAGACATATATATGTATATATTCCCCCCGCCGGATCAAACTCAGGACCTTGCACTTGCAAGGCATGCTCAGTGCCACTGAGCGAAATCCCCAGCAAGACTATACTTTTAATGGAATGTTATCATCAAGGAATGTAAATTAATTGCGGTCATTTAAAAGTTGGGAGATTTTCCATAAAAATGTGGAATTCTGGGTTAGCAAAAAAATGTAAAAAGGGGCTGGGGATTTAGCTCAGTAGCACTGCACATGCCTTCCAACGTGCAAGGTCCTGAGTTTGATCTACAGTCCAAAAAAAAAATGAAAAGGAGCAGTAAAGCATGAATCTGATCAAGCTCAATGTAGAAATGAAGAGGACAGGGGATATACTGAATGAACTTTTCCATGAGAGTGCAGTCAGCAATGCTCAGAATGTGGGGGACACTACAGCACAAGTGACTCTGAGGCTTTAGTAGACAGACTATGAAGAACACTATGTGAGGGAGACATACACAGATTAAAAGAGACAAAGATATAGCAATGTTAAAAAGATGAACAAACCAAAGTATCTACGGATATATGGAAATACAAGAAATCGTTTCTATAAAATTTAGGAGGGCAGCTGGTTACTTATAGGGAAGGAAGGGTGTTAAGACTGGAATGAAAGGCATAGAGAAGCTTCTGAAGTGGCTGGTGATGTTGTATTTCCTGACGAGTGGTGAATGCAAGGCTATTTGTCTTACAAAAACTCATTAAAGCCATCTTTTGTTTATATAGTTTTCAGAACCTACAATTTATAATAAAAGGGGTTTCAAGATGAGATATGACAATAATAACACATTTCCTTCTACAGCTCCCTCCCTAACCTCTTTTCTCAATAACCTGCTCCTGCATTCTGCATAGCTGCCCCTTAGATTAACATGTGCTCAGTAGCTAATAACAAAGGATGTGCTTTACTCAATTATAATTTCTCTCGTTTTATGAGTACATCCAGAATAGAATATTTGTAAGGGATTCAAAGCCTGTGTAAATCTCCAGGTTTATGGATATTCTAAAGCATATAGTTTCTATATACAGTGTTCTCTATTGATTATAGCAGGTTCAACAAATGTTAAATATTGAGATTCTGGGCAACCAACCATATCACTCAAAAGTAAAGTGACTTGGCCAGGCATGGTGGTGCATGCCTATAATCCCAGCACTTGGGAGGCTGAGGCAGGAGGACTGCCAAGAATTTGAAGCCAGCCTGGGCTACATAGTTTTTGTTTTTGGTACCAGGGATTGAACTCGGGTCCTTGCATCCTGGGCTACATAGTGAGCTCAAGGTCAGCCTGAACTACATAGTGAGACCCTGTCTCAAAAAAAAAAAAAAAAAAAAAAAAAGTAAAGTGACTTACTACTTTACACAAGCCTTCTATGTGTTTGATTCAAATAATAAAATTATAAGTACTATATGTTAGGTGGCTGTAATAGCACACTGGGAAAAAAGTAGAAAAAACTGACCTGAGGGAAAGGTGATTTGCCAGCTGAAAAGCTCCACTGTTGTTTGACATGGGTATGGTATAACTCTCTTGTGTAAAGGCAAACAACAATGTCTACAATATTTTACCTTAGACTTAGAAGAGGAAGGTATTGGTTGGAAAGCTCTACTTATTTCTTCTGCATGCAATAAAATAATAGCCCCAAATCAACCTGAACAAATTCATAAAACATCAACAGGAAAACCTAAGCAATGTATATATATCTATTTACTGACATTTTTTCAATTTTGCTATGTCCTAGAAAATTTCATAATAAAATTTTGGGAAAAAAAATTCATCTTACCTCATAGTGCAGCATGAAATTTTTATCTTTTATCCCACTACAGAGAAAAGGCATAATATTAAAAAATATCATAATGACACAAAAAGACCTATTTTAATAAATAACTAAAAAAGATTTTAGAGGATTTAAAAAAAATCCAGTTAAACACCACCAAGAGTTGGTCTGCAACTCTGAAACAGAAAACATGAAAAACAGCATTTTTTTTTTTTTTTTTGAGATAGGATCCATTTTGTTTCCCAGGCTGGTTTTGAACCCCAGCAGTCCTCTTGATTTAGCCTCCCAAGTAACTGAGAAGTGGCATTTTTTTCTGGGGCTTATGAATAAATTCTACATAGAAGAAAACAGTTTTGCTTCAAATATAAGCCCTAGATAACCAGATTTGAATAATAAGACATCAGACATATTTTTAAGCATTAATAAGTACTGAAAGAATCTTAAGTGTTATAGCCATAATATTTAAATCTCATGAGAGGGTGTGGTAGTGTACACCAGTAATTCAAGCACTTAGGAGGCTGAGGTAGAAGATCACCATGAGTTTGAGGCCAGCCTGGACTACAGATCAAGACCCTGTCTTAAAACAAAAAAAATGAAACAAAACATCCAAGAATTACAATCTTTTTCCCACTCAACATGTGAAATGAAGATCAGTAATACAGATTATATAGCTGACAGCAATCAGAAGATCTGACTGGCAAAGATCTTTTCAGTGTTTGAAAACAGAATATTGTGAGAGAGTCTAGAAAAATGGGAAAAAGTAAGAATTGCAAATTCCCAGAGGCAGGAAACCAGGTTTATCTAGAAAAATGACATGCATGTAACAGGGTGTTAACACAGATAGCAGCCTCTTTGGGTGGAATTACAATCAGTATCTTTCTATGCAGGGGATTTAGAAACTGTCTACAGATGCAGCAGAATCTGCCTAACCATGAAGTACAGCCTTAGAAAAAGAAATCTAAAAAGTCAACTCCTTCAGAACACTAAAGAAAACAGGTTTTTGTGAGGTAGGATGATACAGATCACTGGCTCAATACTTGTAATTTACAAGAAAAGGAAACCAAAGGCCAGCATAGTTGAATGATGTGCATGTACTCCCTCCATTTACATAGTTACAGATCTAAAAGTGGGAATTACATGAAGGTGAGCTGGCCAAATCCAGTGTTCTTTCTAAGCTCTAGAAGTCAAAAGGGAAAAGGCTAGAGGAGCAAAGTTTTGGCTAGATGGGAATATAAAGCAAACTGTAAGAATTTCTTTCAAGCTAGGATGAAATAGTCTAGCATCACACATAACTGCACTGTCAATTTTTATCATATATGAGTATATGAAAACCAATGAGTGGCTATCCTGAAAATACTAGGGATTACCCTCATCAGTTAGCCAAGAAGAGGGAGGCAGTCCTATAGTCTTCTGGGACCATTAAGCAAGGTAAGGTAAGGAGGGCTATTAAACACTGAAGAAAGAACTGACTGGGTGTACATCCTAGGGCACTGATGCAGTAATGCTGGTGGGACTGATAGTTTATAATTGATCAGTATTATTTTATTGCTCACTTTTTACAAACGGGAAGAGAGCCAAGATTCTCTAAATAAAAAAATGTCATAGTGTGGTTTGGGATTAGATAGCGTCTTTCATCAAAATCCTCCAGATTACTTTCCAAATGGAATTTCTGCCTACAGTATTTATTTTTCTCCGTTATAAAAGAAAAACCTATCCATTCAGGATTACCAAGGAAATCAGTTTACAGATAGAGAAATAAACACATTAAAGAAAGAAATGCTTTACCAATAGGTGTTCCAAACCAATGAGTTAGAATATAGTATACACATAAAAAAATCTTTTCAGGTTTCCACTATGTAAATGGAAAAATGAAGAACAGAGATACATGTTAAAAAAGAAATTATAACTAATACTATACCATATGAGCTTCAATTATATATTGGAACATCAAAACACAACATTACAGAAATATAACTTACTTTATAGCTGTTATAATTTGATCTGATTTTATACTGGATTCTAATGAATCAAATGTTACAGTACACAGCACCTAAAAAGATAAAAAGTTCCTCAGGCTTTAATATACTAACAATAAAAATGAAAACAACAACAAAATAACAGTAACAACAAACTATGTTGTTTTGGTTCTGGGAATTGAACTCAGGTTCTCCTGCATATGTTCTATCATTGAGATACACTCAGCTCAAAATAAAAATATTTAAAGAATCCAATTAACTTAAAAAAAAAAGTGTGTGTGTGTGTGTGTGTGTGTGTGTGTGTGTGTGTGTGTGTGTGTATTTGCTGGGCATCGTGGCACTTTTTACAAAATCTATATTAAATCTATTGGTATATTTTAGGTATACAATACAGTTACATTCATCATTGGGATCTTGTACCTTTAAATGACTTATCCTGGTTCTTATTTTTCCCCATACCCCAGCCCTCCCTTCAGTCCCTCCACTCTTCCCTGTTTGCAAAGACACTGTTTTCATGTTTTTCCTTTTCACATATTTTTGTCTTTTCCCTTTTTAATTTCCCCTACCCCTCCCACTTCCTCTATTCTTTTAGACTTTTTCTTCCTATTACACAATATCAATTATACATTTTGATCCTTACACTTTTAGTTTTTCACACCAGAGAAACCATTCAGTATTTACACATGTGAGTTATTAATTTCACTTAAGAGTATGGCCTCGATGTGCATTCACTTAGCAATAAATGTCTAGTTTCTCATTCTTTATTGTTTAGTACTCCATTTTATAAAAAAAAAAAAAAACACATCTTCTTTATCCAGTCTCCAGTTGATGGGCAATTAAGCCGTTTCCAAATTTTAGCTATTACAAACTGTGCCGCTGTAAACATGGGTGAGCATATATCTCTGTGGTATGATTCTTTTAATTCTTCTGGGAAGATACCCAGCAGAGGAATAGCTGGGTCAAAAGGCACTTCTAATCCTAGTTGTTTGAGGTATCTCCATATTGATTTCTACAGTGATTGCACCAGTCTGCACTCCCACCAACAATGGAGAAGGGTTCCTTTCTCCTCACAACCCTGCCAGCATTTGTTATTGGTTGATTTCTTGATAGCCATTCTTACTGGGCTGAGATGGAATCTCAGTGTTGTTTTCATCTGCATCTCTCAAATGACCAGTGATGTTGAACACTTTTTCATATGATTATTTGCTGCTTTTACTTCTTTGTGTGAGAAATGTCTGTTAATTTCAGATGCCCGTTTTTGAATTGGGTCTTTATATTTGGGAGGCCTGATTTTTTGGAGTTTTTAAATATATTCTAGGTAGTAGATCTTTGTCTAAGGAACCGCTGGTTAAAAATTTTTTCCCACATTGTGGGTTGTCTCTTAGCTCTGCTTGTGATTTCTCTGGCAGAGAAGCTTTTAAAAAAGGATGAGATCCCAGTTGTTGATTCTTTGTGCTAGCTCTTGTGCTATTGAGGATTTATTCATGAAGTCTTCTCCTATGCCAGTATCTTCAAGAGTTCTACCTAACTTATTTTCCAGCAAGTTTAGTGTTTGTTTTAATATTTAGATCTTTAATCCATTTGGATTGTAGATTAGTGCATGGAGAAAGATAAGGGTCTAGTTTTAATCTTTGGCATGTTGAAATCCAGTTTTTCCAACACCATTTATTAAAGAGGCTATCTTTCCCTCAGTGAGGATGGTTGGCTCCTTTGTCAAATATGAGATAGCTGAGTATGTCCGGAGTTGTTTCTGCATCTTCTAATCTGTTCCACTCATCCTCGGGTCTGTTTCTTTGCCAGTACTATGCTGTTTTTATCACACTGGCTTTGTAGTATAGTTTCAAGTTGGGGATTGTGACACCCCCTGCCATGTCTCTGTTGCCTGGAACTTCTTTTGCTATTCTAGGTCTCTTCTGGTTCCAAATGAATTTTTGGATTGTTTTCTGTAATTCTGTGATACTGTTGGGATTTCAATAGGGATTGCATTGAATCTGTATAGCAGTTTTGGAAGTATGGCCATTTTTACTATATTGCTTCTTCCTACCCAGGAACAAGGGATATCTTTAAATTTTCTTATATCCTCTTCAATCTCTTTTTTCAGAGTGTTGTAGTTCTCAATGTAGAGGATGCTCTTGCCTGTAACCCAAGCACTCTGGATGCTAAGGTAGGAAGATTGCCAAGTGCTAGACTGCATAACAAAACCCCGTCTTAAAAAAAAAAAAAGTACATTCTATACAAACTAACCATGGCACTTAGCATGGGAAATACTCACTTTGTCAATATTCAAGTTGTATGTAAATCTGAAAAATCCACATATCTAACATCATATAGATGACATATACATATGTAAAGCTCTATACTAGGAGTGCTAGGGGAGGAAGACAGGAAGAAGGAGAAATATTTATAAAAGTTATGTACTTGTCCATAGAAGAAGCCTCAACAAAAGTTCAGGCAATAAAATTGCTCACTTAAAAAAAAAAACCCAAAAAACTCAATCTTCTTTGGAAGGTAAGAATATAATCCAAATACTCTACAATCAATATCATTCATAAAGTCCAGGATACTCTACACAGAAAGAAAAAATAGCCTGTTCTCAAGAGAAAAGATAAGATATTGGATTAACAGACAAAAATTATCAATAGCTATTATAATTATGCTGAAGGACATAAAAAGAATTATTGAAAATTCTGGAACTGAAAAATATGCCATCTCATAATTGAAAGGAGATTCATAATTGAAAGAATCAGTGAACATGAAGAAACTGTCTGATAGAAACTGTCCAGGGGGGTGCATTTGCCTAGCATTCACAAAGCCCTGGGTTCATTCCCAAGCACTGGGAAGAAAATCGCCAACATAAAGCGAACCACCTCTCAGGGACCTTTGTGATAATATCAAAGAGGATGAGGGTAACATATGTGTTCTTGCAATACCACCAAGGGAAAACAAAGAGAATGAGGCATGAAAAAATGGACGAAATAATGGTTGAAATTTTTCATATATACACCACATGATAAAATCCTATAATACCTATATACTTCTAATAGATCTAACAATCCTATTTTATCAAATAACTATTGTTATTTTTTTTACCTGTGTTTGTCCCCTCTGAAATAATGCTGATCCATGAAGAGTTTTAAACATATCTACCTCACAACTTATATTCCTAAGTGAAGTCAAATCACGCCCATCACACCTGTATTAATAAAGGAAACAAACGGTAAAGCTGAGATGAAAATCACAAAAATTACATGTCCCTTTATCCATACAAAACATTCTCAACTCTAGCTGTGTATCATAATTCCCTGTAGAACTTAAGAAATAATACAGGTACTTGCATTCCACACTCAGTCCCACCGAATCAGTATTTGAGGTTGTGACCATACATCTCTACTGTTATAAAACCATCCAAGTCATTCTGATGTGCAGTGAGGGCTGTAAAGCATGTGCTACATATTAGGTTAGTGACAGACAGTGACTCATCTATACTATCCTTATCTTTCTTCAGTATGTCCCCATTTTTAAATAATTATGTGTCTTCATTTGAAGAGCAGTTCTTTCCTTTGAGCAGGCTGCCATTTCCAAGGCAATTTGCAGGGACAGCACATGTTTTGTGTCAAAAGATGTTAGCCAAGCATGGTGGCACGCACCTATATTCTCAGCTAATGTGAAGGCTGAGGAAGGACAATGACTTGAGCCAGGGTTTGGAAATCAGTTGGGAAGAATAGTAATAACTCATCTTAGAAAACAGGATATGTTTACCTTTTATATTCATTCAAAATTATACTTCTAAAAACCTCCTTTGAAACAACATTGAAGGACTCTATTATTTCATATGGATCAGCTTCTGGAAAATTTTCTATAGAAAAAAGACAAAACAGAGGTTTTCTATTTTTCGAAGATAGATTTCTTCAAAGTTTGCACCATCAAGTCAATTATTATGGTAGTAAGCCAAGGATTCCACTCTGAACTTTTACTTCTCAGGCAAACAAAGTAGAAAAATAAAATGTTCTGAAGTTAAATGAGACATACCAAGTATTAGGTATCTCAGATGTGTTGTCACTGAGAATTCATAGAACAATAGTGGTTTGTAATTAGCTTCCTTATTGTATTACATTACTTGACAAATCTAACCAACCATATTATGAAAAGGTTTAACTGACAGTTTTAAGGATGGTCATTCTCATTAGCTTTGAGAACTTTTATCTTAGTCTGCAAAACTGAAATGTACATTTTTTTCATGTATTATAAATCCTCACCATTTTGAAGCTAACATTTAGCAAGTGCTTTTTTGAGCCAGGCACTTCACAGGTAGCTTTTTAAAAAATGCCGTTAATCTTCATAGTAGCTAATAAGGAAAACTATTATTCCTATCTTACAGAAGAAAAAATAAGAGATTTAAAGAAGTAAACCATCTGCGAACACTCAGAGAGTAACTGATACAGCTGTGATCTGTACTGTTCTCTCAAGTGCTTGGTTTATTAAATAATGCATAACTTTAAAAAACCAGAATGTGAGAAATGGTGACAGAAAGATACATTAAATATTATATTTTAATATTATACTTTATATAATTAATACATTGTATGTCACACCTCCATTATATTCTCTTTGTATGATATTTATGTTATGCAATAAGACTGCTTAATAATTTCTGGAGAGCTAAATTATTTAAGGCTCTGTATCTAATAATTCCACACAATATTAAGACTAATAACAGCATCAGTTAACATTTATTGAATACTATCTGCCAAGTACAATTATAAATGATTTACTAGTGTAATTCTTTTTTTTTGGTACCAGGATTGAACTCGGGTCTTTGAGCTTGCAAGGCAGGCGGCGGAACCTCTGAGCTAAATCTCTGGCCCTACTAATGTAATTTTTTTTTTTCTCATTGAGTTTATTGGTACATTTTAGGTATACAGTACAGTTACATTCATCATTGGGATCTTATACCTTTACATGACAGGTCTTGGTTCTCATTTTTTCCCCATACCCCTGCCCTCCCTTCACCCCCTTTTGCTTCCCTATGTATTTCCCTTTCCCTCCCTAAAAACTTTGTTTCCATTTTTTCATTTTCTCATATTTTTTTCTTTTCTCTTATTTCCTTTCCCCTACCCTTCCCACTTCCTACTAATGTAATTCTTATAAACTAGGTATTACCGCAACAGTACAGATAAAACACAAGAATTTTAAAGACTATCTTTCAGGTTTTCAAATGAAAGACACAAGACACAAGACAACCCACTATACAGGGTAAGAGTCTGAAGTAGAAAAGATAGGAACATTTCACATTCAATATTTGCCAGGTGCCTCTCTCAAATATTGTGTTTGCAGCACTCACAGAAGTTAATTTAACAGTAACCTTGTGATGTACCATCACCAAAATTTTACTTAAAACTAAGGAACAATGAGTAACTGATTTCTCTGAGGTATCACCATAGATATTTTAGAAAAAAACCTTTTACAGTGACACCTTGGTTGTCAAATGGTTCCAAGCTCGTACTTTCCACTATTTGAACAGCAAAGTTTGAAAAAAATCTGCTTGGTATTTGTAACTTTGATAGTTGAACAAAATATCTGACTTCAAAAAAACCTGTACAGGCCAAGAGTCATCTATCTTGTTTCACCTTGGGTACAAACAGGTGACAATTCAGTCTAAGTGCCACTCTTGTCCAGACAACATATAGTGCTTGTGTTAGTACAGTAAAATACTTGTCATTGTGCTTTTTTTTTCCATTAAGTTTATTGGTATGTGTTTGGTATACAATACAGTTATATTCATCATTAGGACCTTGTACCTTTACAAGATGTATCTTGGTTCTTATTTTTATGCTTTTTTGGGGGTACTTCATTTGCATAAAATATGTAGTATAATGCAAAGAATTAGGCTAAGAAGGAAACTGAGAACCATGACAGAGTTAGAGAAAGAAATCACTGAAATTTGTTAAAAGTCCTAGAAAAATGTATTTAAAAGTATAATTTTGGGGCCTCAGAACTAATTATTTGGTTTTCCATTTTTTATGGGAAAAATGTTTAATTTGCAAATATTTCAATATTTGAACATGAATTTGGCACGAACTGAGTTCGACAACCAAGGTATCACTGCATTTTTCAATTTTTTTCTAAATTAAATTCAGTAATTGCTGGGTGTGGTGGCACACACCTGTAATCCCAGAACTTGGGAGGCTGAAGCAGGAGGATCACTGCAAGTTCGAATAGCCTGGGCTACATAGTGAGTTCAAGGTCAGCCTGAATGGCATAGAGAGACCCTGTCTCAAAAAAACAAAAAACCCCTGAAAAACGAAATTCAGTAATGCATTGGCTGAGAAAGAAATCAAGAAAACAATTTATAGTAGCTTAAAAAACAAACACAAAAACCTGAGGATCAAAATAACTGAGGTAAAAGACCTCAATAGTGAAAACTACAGAACAATGAAGAAAGAAAATGAATACATGAGAAAATGAAAGATTTCCCATATTTGTGGGTCAGCAGAATATTATTAAAATGACCATATTACCAAAAGTGATATAAAGAGGCAATGCAATTCACATAAAAAACCCAATGACTTTGTGGAAACAGAGTAAATAAACAAAAGGTAGAGGTATCTCAATACTTTATTTCAAATTATAGAACAAAGTCATAGTAACAAAAATAGGACAGACATGGCACAGTGAACTAAAATAGAGGACACAGAAACAAACACATGCAACTGTAGTCATATAATTCTTGACAAAGAAGCCAAAAAATATACAGTGGAAAAAAAAAGACAACCTCTTTAAAAAATGGTTGGGAACACTGAATATTCATTGTAGAAGACTGAAACTAGATCCCACTTTCTTACCCTGTAAGAAAACCAATTCAAAATGGATTCAAGACCTAGGTATAAAACTTGAAACTTTGAAACTGCTAGAAGAAAACATAGAAGAAATTATAACTTGAAATTATAAGTATAAGCAAAGACCTCCTTAATAGGACTCCAGTTGCCCAGAAAATATAGCAGTATCAACAAATAAGATTGCATGAAATTTAAAAATTTCTGCACAGCAAAGAAAACAATCAACAGTGAAGAGACAACCTATAGAATGAGAGAAAAGTCTCTGCTAGCTATTCTTCTGACAGAGGATTAATATCTAGAATATAAGAAACAGTCCAATCAATAAATGGACAAATGAACAGAAACTTTTCAAAAGAAGTACAAATAGCTAATAAGTACATGAAAAAATGTACAACATCTTTAGCTACTGGGGAAAAACAAAAATTAAACTACATTACAGAATGCATCTCACCCCAGTCAGGATGGCTATCATCAAGAATATGGAAAACAGCAAATGCTGTTGAGGATGTGAGAGGAAAAAGGACACTTGTACATTGCTAGTGGGAATGTAAATTAGTATAACCACAATGGATATCAGTATGGGGATTCCTCCAAAAACTAAATATTGCCAGGTGTGGTGGTGCACACCTGTGATCTTAGCACTTGAGAGGCTAAGGCAGTATTGCTCTGAGTTCGAGGTCAGCCTGGGTTACATAGTGAGTTCAAAGCTAGCCTGAACTACTACATAGTGAAACCATCTCACCACCCCCCACAACAAACTAAAAAATAGAGCTATCATGGATCCAGGTGTACCACTCTTTATTACATACCCAAAAGAATTAAAGAGCTTACTATAGGAATACCTGCACATTTATGTTTACTGTGACATAGTTCACAATAACCAAGCTATGGAATCAGCATAGGTGGCCATCAACAGATGAATTGATTAAAAACAATATGGTATATCTATATATATATATATATATATATATATACAATGTAGTATTATTTAATGATAAAGATGAACAAAATCATGTCATATGCAGAAAAATACATGGAGCTAGTTATCATTGTATTAAGCAAAATAAGCTAGACTAAGAAATACAAATATTGCATATTCTCCCTAATATGTTGAATCTAAAAAGGATGGTATCAAAATAGAAGGGGGACTATTATTAAACAAGAGGAAAGGAAGGAGGAGGGAATTGAAGATCATAATGGGGAGATGGATATGATCAAAATACATGCACCGAAACTCCGTAATTTGTAAATTAATAGGCACTAATAAAAATACATTAAAAGAGTAAATTTACCTTTTAGTTGTTCCTCTGTATCTAATCTTATCTTGTTAACAGCTTCATCTCTGGAAACCTGAAAGATAGTTAAAAGTTATATACATTTATATTTGATAATGTTTAACATTTTTAATATTTAAATTAAATTAAATTTTTTTTTGTTTTGTTTTTTTGAGACAGGGTCTCACTACATAGTTGAGACTGACCTGGAACTCACTATGTAGCCCAGGCTGGTCTCGAACTCACAGTGATCCTACTGCCTCAGCCCCGAGTGCTGGGATTACAGGTGTGAGCCACCACGTCCGGCCTTGTCTAACATTTTTTAGCTATACAGTTAACACTGTAAAAGTATTCATATTTTTCGAATGATATCATTCTTTAAAATATGGTTATTGATTTATAAGAAATGTTTAATTTATTCAAATATACTTGTGTACTTCTCTAAAACAAGAATTAACAAAAGAAGACTGGAGAAGCAAACAGCCTTCAACTTTGCTTTTTGGTTAGATTTAAAAAAAAAAAAGGACAAATGTTCATAAGCACAATTATGAGTCATGACAAAAAAGTATGCCTTTAACAATTATATATGAGAAACTGGAGGTATACCTACTTTATCATGTTCATAATCTTTAAAAACTGCAGAAAGTTTCTCTTCGGCAAGGCTAAAGTACAAAATAAATGTTAGCATAACAATATTTGAAACATGAGATAATTTCTATTATAAATAAAAAAACTAAGCCATAATTTAATAAACATTTCATAATTAAAATATACATTGTTGTTTATCACTGTTAATCTATTTACTACTTATGATATAGAACTAAAATTTCTCTCCCCCTTAAGCAAATGACTCACACATAGTACTACATTCTCTTTTCTTTTTGTGTTTAATTGATCAATTAATTCTTTTAGATTTATTCATATTTACTGAGTGTCTATGTGGCAGGCATTGTTCCAAGCACCAGACATATAAGCGTGATTATACTCAATTTATTTTGAAAAGCCAGTATTTCCCCTAGATATAAAAATATCTTGTCCTTTCTCCTTTTTTTCTAGACACATGAGATATAGAAATTACTTGAATCTTAAACAGCAAATACCTGTCCCTTTCATTTGAGATTTAAGGTTTATATTCTTTTAGTCATTAGACCAATATTTATGGCAATAACTTTTAAAACATGAAAGTATTTTTTATGAAGTAACACATGGTCAATGCATTCATGTAAATTTTTCCTCTAGGGGAATTTAAATCTGGTGACAATTTCTTATTTTCTTTTGCATAGATGTTCTTACTTATGAGCGTGTTTCACAATATCTGGTGGAGGGGTAAATATCTTCTGAGGTGTCCTCTTGGCAACCCCAATTTCTTTTACTAATTGCTGGATTCCTTGAATTATTTGTTGGGTATATTTTACTCCCACTTTGATAGCATGGCAAAAGTCCTGCTGTAAAATATTCTCAGCAGAGGCTTCCAACATGACTATAGGGAAGGAAAAAAGATGATTATTGCCATTGAGCCTTTTTATTAATACCATGACACAACAAATAATATAAATCGATTTTATTTTTTATTTTGTTTTATTTATGTATTTTTTTGGTAGCAGAGATGGAACTTGGGTCCTTGCGCTTGCAAGGCAGGAGGCGGAACAGCTGAGCTGAATCCCCGGTCCAGTCAGTTTTATTTTGTATGATATATCCACCTTTTACAATATCTTTCTTCAGAATAAACAAACTTCCAAAATATCAATAATAGGTTAATAAAGTCTTGCTATTTTAATTTACATTCTCCTTAAATTCAATGAGGTCTTTCACATACAAAACAGAAAAGAAAATAAATTACATTTTAAGATAATAGCTTTGAGAAATAAACTATGTAACAAAATCCAGTTTTTTAAAGTTTATAATTGCACTTAATTTTAATGTGTATTTTAAATGAATTTTAAAATATGTACCATAGCAGGGATCCTATGAAGGCTTCCGTTTTAACAGTTATTTAATGTGTCCTCCTTAGTTTTGATTAATCAAATTGTCCAATTTTTGCACAGGTAGGGAAAACACTGCAGTAAATCTATGTTAAGTGGCTGTACCAGGGAATTTTAGCTACCATTCATAAAAAAGTTGTTTTTATGGTTTTATAACAGTAAAACTCCTGTGCAGAATAGGAAAGTTCTAAAGTTGGGCTTTTACAATGTTATCTTGTTAAAATCTATTATTCAGCTTTGCCTTTGCATTCCGGAAGGCTAAATAGCCTTCTGGCTACTTGTGTGTCATTTTTGGTATCTTTCATTTGTACAAAGACCCTAAAAGGCATCGTTCACAATATATCTCATACATTTAAGAACCTGTATTAAGATTTACTATTATGTGAATCATCACTTTTAAGGCTTCCAGGTGTAATACTGAATTTTAAAAAGTCTCCCTATGTGCTTTATATGTTAGAATTCCATCAGCCAATTGAAGTAAACCTGTGAAAAGAGGTCACGGAAGAATAAGAGAAAGAAGGCAAGGCTGAAATAGTACTGGAAAAAGAATGGCTAAAAATTTCCTAAATATGGCAGACATAAGTGTTTGATGCAAGGAAGTGATGAACCCTAAACTGGGTAAACCCAAAGACAGTCAGGCCAAGACATCATAATTAAACTTCTCAAAACCAGAGACAAAGAAGAAAACCTCTGCTGATAAAAAATGATACCTTAATGGGGCATGGTGGTGCATGTGATAAGTAGGATCACAAATTTGAGCCTACTCTGGGTAACTTAGTGACACCTATCTCAAAATAAAAAAATAAAGGGCTACCTTAGCCTCTCAAATGCTGGGATTACAGTTGCACACCACCACATCTGGATGACTTACCACTTTCAATTTCTTTTACCTGAGAGAAAAATAAATTCCCACCTCATTTAAGCCTTATCTGATTTGACAGCACAATCCCCACCAATATGAGGATAGTATACTACTCCTGTTACTATTATATGTGTTTTTTTTAATCATACAGTACCTAGTACTAACTCCATTAGTGACCAACATACCTGTACTTGGAAATAAAACGTGTCACACATCATTTATACAAAAAAGAACTAAAAATTTTAAAAGTTTAATAATTTGTTTCATCAAAATGTTTCTGCATTTTTGAAGATGCCATTTCAAAAAGTTTAGGACATCAAATGCCACAGTAGTATAAACCAGTAAGTTTCCTTGAGTCATTTGTCCAAGGTTACATGATTCTAATGGCAGAGAAAGGTTTCAAACCCAATATGCTCTAATTGCTAGGTAAAGCTCTTTCTTCTATCCAATAGCATGAGGTCCTGACTCTCATTCATGAGATCTTGGCATTTTTATTATAGGAAGTGAAAGGGTACCATATTTAGAACATTTCTTACTTTATTACTAGTTTTCCATCTATCAACAATAAGCTACTTCTTTGTCAGAGGATACCAAGCAGGCATAAAAAGACAAATCAGCTAAATTAAGATATTTAAACGAATAAAACTATTAATTTATTACCAGATTTATTGCTTCTATATTTAGACGAAGTTATTAGTCTAAAAACAATTACTGAAATTATCTTGAAAAAGATTTTTGTGTATTTTAATTAAAATTGTACAATATTCTATACTTTTAAGTATTATCTAATATGAAGCAAGGCATGCCCAAGATATGGCATAGATACAGTAAGAATCTTTCTTCTACACAAAATACACCAAGAAGAGCTTAAATGCATTTTTGTTGTTATTGTTACTGGGAATCGAACTTGGGACCTTTTGCTTGCGAGGCAGGTGGTGGAACCACTGAGTTAAATTCCAGGCCCTTAACTCATTTTTTTAGATGCCAGACTTGCAAGTAAAATTTAGGATAAATGTGATGTTTAAACTACTCACCAATCTGACTTTTAGGTGCTCCAGCAACCACTAAATTTAAAGTACTAGAAGATATTTCTTTTCTTGTTGGGTTAACAATACATTGTCCATCAATCATTCCTATTCGTACTGCCCCTAAAATACATATTAAAACATTACAAATTTTTAATGAAAACTTCCACTTTTCATGATACTTTATAGTGATTTTTGATTGTGACTACAGAATAAAATTCCAATTTCTTGATATTAAAGGCCCATATAACATCCCATCTCACCCTACCTTCTGGACTCAGTGGACCATTACGAATTGTTCAAATGTACTACTTTTTTATGTTAATCCTCGTCTCCTAGTCTAGACTGTACCCTCTTCAGAGCAACCAAAGATGTGTATGTGTGAACCTACTGAGTTCAGATTATACACTGGCTACTCTGAGAGGCCCTCTTTGACAACTTAAACTCCTAAAATCAAACTTGGCCTTTTCTATCATTTTTCAGTACCTTGGGTATGCCTTTATAATAATACTATTAGTTAATAATTACATGCTTCTTTCTTATGCTGATAAGAACTGCCTCTTTCGTCTTTGTATTGCTAGTGCCTAGTATGCCTTTGTACATTCACTGCTTAGCTCAGTAGGTAGTCTGTAGGACACGCAATAATTATCTACTTGATGAATCTTTTTATGTTGTACAATTACAACCTAAAAAAAGCTGTTCTGTTTTGTCTATCATATAGCATCTTGCAAATTACAAACATTTTTGTTTTATCTTGAAAAAATAGAGTAGGTACTCTGATAATTTCCTTGTGCAAAGAAAGAAAAAGTCTTTTTAACATAAAGAGGCAACTAAGAGGTCAAAATATCTTCAGACATAAAATCTATAGTACCATAACATCCTGCTGCTATTGGAAACAAAACCCAAGCAAGGATGAACATGACTGAAAGGCCTGCAAGGAATCATAGGATGTCACGTAATTCAACTCTTAAAGGGCTAAAAAAATCAGTCAATTAATCTATGCTTTTACTATAGCATGCTCAATACTATTTGTTGAAAGAACATGTTTTTTTTTTTCAAATCCTAACTTACCAACAGGTCCATTCCAAGGAATATCTGATAATGAGAGGGCTACTGAAGCTTAAAGAAGGAGAAAAATAAAAATTGAAGTTAAAATATTTCATTGTTTTAAAAAATAAACAGTGATAATTTGAATCTCTATTTTTATACTTACCACCATTAATTGCTAGGATATCAGGTTCATTAATACCATCTACTGCTAACAGATTACAAAGGACCTGGAGAAAAATGTGAAGAACTTTAAAAAAATTACTTGATTTGGGAGGATCATTCATCATTTAGGCTAATAATTTGGCCTAACTTATAGGAGTATTGTATGGTTAAAAGCCTGGGCTTTGTAGCCAATCCCCTAAATTTTGGCTAATATTTAACTAAATCTTTGTCATGAGGTAAATTACCTAAATTAAACTTTAAAAGTTTACTGATCTTTAGGAGAAATGGAATCTACCTAATGGGTTCCTGTAAAAACTACAGGTATATTGCACATGAAGCATTTGTCACAATATTAGCATGTTGCAAGTATTCAGTAAATGTCAGTTATGTATTTTTATTATTGGCTTATAAGCCAAGATGAAACAAATCAATGAATTAACTTATACTGTAATGATGTGTCTATGTCATGTTTTTAAGGAATTTCCTTTAAATAAAATGTTTTACATAAGTATATATAAAGCATAAATATTTAAAGTATAATAAAGTAATTATGTGGAAAGAAAATAATATTTAGAAAGTATTAAAATATAAGAGGTTCAGAGGATCCAATAATAAAGATAGGCAAATAAAAAGTGTATTGTCTTATCTGTTACTAATATGACCTATAAGGTCCAGCCACATAATTTGATCCCCCTTCACCTCAATCACACTGATCTTTCAAACTCATTAAATCCTTTCCTCCCTGAAGGCTTTCTTATTCCTCTTTCTATCTGCTTGGAATGCTTCCCCAACACTCCTGGTTAGCTAATTGCTGTGCATAAATCAGGTGTCAGCTCAAATTCACACAAGTAAAAATTGGCTTTTTAAAAATGACTTTTTTACTTTACAGTAATTGATATAGATACATCATCAAAATTCTTTATAATACTGAGCGTAGAAAGAGTTACAGAGATTAAGTCATATTTGACCATCTGGAAACGAATAAATCTCAAGAAAAACTTACCTGTGTATCATAAAAGTAGCCAATTGGAAAAAGAGGTCTAATTGATCGATCTGTCAAAAGAAAGAAAAAGATATTAATAGTACTGACAGAGATGCTTTAGAGTTCAAGACTCTTTTGTTCAATATGTCAAAAAACAAAATCCTGTGGATTGATTTGCTAAGAAAGATCACAGATAAATTAATGTAAAGAAATTAATTAATGTAAAGAAAATATTTGCTTGGTATTGTGTCTGATGAATACACACACACACACACACACACACACACTGTCAATTTCTGGCTATAAGAACTCTATGTTGCAAATAATTCCACAATATTTTTATGGATATAAAAAATTTGGAAGATTATAGACATATTTCAGTAGTTGATAAAGATAGTTTTAGGAATTACTATGTGATATAAAAAATGAAAAATGCTAGGGATAGATTCAATAGAGGTCAGGCATGGGCCATGGAATTCATATGCTTGATGCTCATGGCCTTAATGTTGAGCTATTAATTTAGTCAACAAATATTTACTGAATACCTATTCTGTGGATGATCATGAGTTATTTTTTTTGGAACCTTGCACTTGAGAGGCAGGTGGCAGAACCACTGAGCTAAATCTCCGGTGAGCATGAGTTTTTTTCTTTCATGGAGACCACATTTAAGAAAGGGAACAGAGAGTAAATAATCCCCAGTGGCATTCAAGAAATGAATGGAAATTTAAGTTACTGTAGAACACAAATGGAAAGGAAGAGTTGCTAGCACTGGCATATCCAAGAGGTTAATGCTTCTATGTTAATGTCATACCAATTATTCGACTTGTAAGAATTTCTCTATCAGAAGAACCAATTTCTCTTCTAAGGTAGTTTGTGGGAATTCTACCTGCTGCAGCAGCCTTCTGTCTATAGTCAACCTGAAATGGCAATGAAAAAAATGAAGTTCATATGATTTCTTTTTTTAGTAAGAAATTATACACTCCAAACTACCAAACATCAATTTTTCTGAGGTTATTAAAAATTTTCTGGGCTACTAGTAGAGGATATTTTATTTATTTTTAACCTTTTGAATCTCTCAGGGAATGGAGAGGTCATAGAAATGTTTCAACCAACTGATTAAAAAAAATCTTACACTTAGCAGTCAGATGACTTCTTAGCCTCAGTACTTCCCACAGTAGCTTACTTTAGTCAAGTCAAACAATACCTTTTTAGTCATAACTGCATTCCCCTCTTTATATTAGAAAGAAGCAATAAAACTTTAATGAATTCTTATAGACTCATACTGAAGGGAAACCCACAAAGGCAATGAATTCATTGTATATTCAACATCAAAGTACTCAAGTACTTTCACTGATCTCATCAACTCACATACTAAAATATTCTAAAGTATGTTTACTACCAGCATGAGAATTGATAATGCAGAATGAGCTTACATTCTTTTAATGACCCAGTATCAAACAACTAAGGAAAATACTTTGTTGTACAAAGTTTATATTTTACATTCCTAGACTCTGAACAAAAACATTTCACATTCTACTTTTATGTTACATTAAAGCTCAGATAAATCAACAAATACTTACCACCAAAGGCATGAACTGGGAAGGTGAAGGTTTTGTTTTGCTGACTGCGGTGACCATTACTGCAGTATCACCTGACTTAGTAAATATAAACAACAATGATAAATTTAACTGAAATCACATTAACATAAAAGTTGCAACTGAATGAATCTTCACTCCAGTTGAACTCAAGAAAAGTATCTCTTTTTCCTTGCAATTATAACAAAGTAATTATTCACAAGTTGTTTAATGCTGATCTTTTCTATATAATCAAGATCACTATTAAAATAGTAGTTGGGGCTGGGATTTAGCTTAGTGGTGCTACCACTGCCTGCCTTACAAGCGCAAGGTCCCCAGTTCAAACCTCGGTACCCCAAAACAAAACAAAACAAAAACAAAACAAAAAAACAATGTTGCTGAGTTTTTCAAAGGGAGAAAAGGCTCACTGATAGCCATATCCAATTAATCAAATCACATTTTCTACTTATGAAGAAATTTAGGCTAAATGTTAAAACAATTTCCCAAGTATTACTATTAAAGAGAAGAGTGAAATAATTTTCTCTAGAAACGTATAATAACAGATTTTATTAAAAGAATACAATAAAACCACAAGTTTGGAAGGGATCTTAAAAGTGATGATACATCTACTAGCCCTCTAACTCTCATTTCTGGAATGGTTCTGACACTAGAAATAATTTTAGTAGTATTTGAATGAATTTCCAATATCACATTTCTAAGTTGTATGATGTTATGAAGATACTCAGTATCAGAATCCATAACCATTTTAAGTTGAAATTTTAGGAACCTAGACTTTTTACCTGTACAACAGCAGAGCCATCTGCAAATCTGGCCAGTTTTCCAGAAGATATTTCTAATTTTCTATTTAAAAATAAAAAATTAAATACAAAATTAGTTAGGTCATTAGTACAATTCCCAGTTTAGTATATAATAATCAAAGATTCTGATAGATGAACTAAGATTACCAAGCCCATAAAGCCTCCTAAATAAACAAAAATGGACAGAATTCATGATCATTATAAAAAATACAAAAGGAACTTAAGAGCTGCTAAATACAGAAACCAAGGCTCAGCATTAACCTGAATGAGAAAATATTTTCGAAGTGGAGAAATTAAATGCCTTCATAAATGTTAATTTCAATCTACCATCTTAATTCAGGCTCTTGCCATGCCTTATCCAGTTGACTGCCATAACCTCTGAATAGACACGATGGTCATTTCCTTACTTAAAATTCTTTAAAATTTTCTCTCTTGTGCTCAGCACAAAATTAAATTTCTAAATATTACCTATAAAGACATTCATGTTTGACACTAGTGTCAATTTAATAGTGAAAGAATATAGTAGTGTTTTCAGTCAATGGTCCTGGGACAACTGGATATTCATCTCTATGTACAAAAGAATGAAGTTGGACTCTTTTTCATATAAAAATAAAAACTAAGGGCCGGGGATTTAGCTCAGCGGTTCGGTGGCCTGCCTTGCAAGCGCAAGGACCTGAGTTCAATCCCCGGTACCAAAAAAAAAAAAAAAAAAATTAAGTTTAGGGCCGGGGATTTAGCTCAGTGGTTCGGTGGCGCAAGGACCCAAGTTCAATACCTGGTACCAAAACAAAAAAAAAAACTAAGCTGGGCATGGTGGTGCTTACCTATAATTCCAGCACTCTCAGAGACTGAGGCAGGAGGATTGCAAGCCTAGCTTGGTTCACTCAGCAATTTAGTGAGACCATGTCTCAAAATGTAAAATTTTAAAGAGGGGTAGAGATGTGGCTCAGAGTGATGGCCCTAGCTTTAACTGCCAATACTTCTGTCTATCTATCTAAACTCAAAATGGACATTAGATCTAAAACAATTAAAAATACAAAATTCTAAGAAAACAATATAGCAGTAAATCATCATAAATTTGGGTTAGACAATGTCTTCTTAGATACAACATCAAAACCATAACTGATAAAAGAAAAAAATAATTTGGACTACATCAAAATGAAAATCTTCCATTCTTCAAAGGGTATCACCAAGAAAAAAATTAAAAAATCTATAGAAGAGGAAAAAATATTTGCAAATCAAATACCTGCTAAGAGGAGCCGGGGATTTAGCTCAGCGGTTCCGCCGCTTGCCTTGCAAGCGCAAGGACCAGAGTTCGATCCCGGGTACCAAACAAATACCTGATAAGAAACTTGTATCTAGAATATGTAAAGAACTCAAAACTGAACAATAAAAAAGACAGAGGTCAGCTAACTACAATCCATGGCATGTACTGTTATTCAACTAAGAATGTTCTTTACATGTTTAAAGGGTTTATAAATACACACATACATACAGGAATATGTAACAGAGATTGTATGTGGCCCACAAAAGCTAAAATACCTACTGTCTGTTTTTCTTCATAGACCTTTGCAGATTCGTGACCAAACTCAGTCTCATATTTTTTTTTTTCTTTTTTTTGGTACCGGGGATTGAACTCGGGTCCTTGCGCTTGCAAGGCAGGCCACCGAACCACTGAGCTAAATCCCTGGCCCTCAGTCTCATATTTTACAAGAGTTACAAAATATTTTTTCAAGGTCAACCAGTCACTAAGTTAGAAAGGAAACTATAAAGCCAAAATTTATTTATTTTTTTGCATTGACGAGGGTAAAACAAATTTTAAAGTACATTCTAAAAATTTAGATATACATATAACGTTAGAGATGCAGCTCAGTGGTATGGTGCCTGCTTTGCATGTGTAAGGTCCCAGAGTTCAATACGTAGGACCACAAAACAAAACAAATCCCCCAAACAAGGTTAACTATATAAAGTATGCATTAGAAGTTTCATTTCTAACAATTTAGTCAGTAGTTTTTTAAAGGTATTTTTTGACATGAAAAATAAACGACTGCTGGAAAAAATATGTGCTTTGTGAGAAACAGTAGTTCATAATCCACCTAGTTCCGTATAACTAGCTTTGTTGATTGAGAAAATTACCTAACCTTTTTTGAGTTTATGTTACTTTAACTATAAAACGAGAATAATAGTACCTTTAGATATAGACGCAAAAACATTGCGCGCATCATTTAACTCGCGTTCAATAAAACTGGTATTTCCTTTCCCTTCCTATCCAAGGTTACACTGGCCACACTTTTTTTGGAAATCGATTGAGTTGGATGTCGTAAGCATGTTAACTTGTTATCTAGAGGTGGAATTTTTCCCACTGTAGAATCCACGGGTTTCGGAAAGTAAAGAGAATAGATGCCAGAGGGACAGACGGGCTCAGTGGAAGAAAGGAAACCCGAAATAGAGCAAGTGGTAGGATCAAGAAGCAAAGAGCACTAGATAGCGCAGGGAGAGGATCCTAGAAGACAGACTCCAAACCTGGAATAGAAATTAGATTTGGATAAAGAAAGAGTTAAGGATAGGGGCAGAAGATTTGGCTCAGTGGTTCCGCTACCTGCCTAGCAAACTCAAGGTCCCGAGTTGGATCCCTGATACCCCCCCTCCCCCAAAAGAGTTAAGGATACCTGAAGAGTTAAGGATACCTGATTACTTAAGGCTTCCAGATTTCTACCCCGGGTTATTAAAGTAGTAGTTCTGGCCAGACACGACACACTGCGAAAAGACAGGGAACGCATGCTGTTCCTTACCTGTTGCCTAAGTCCACAGATACAGCTCTGGACCTTGTGCTACTCCATAGTGTTCGTACTTGCAAATGAGCTGATACACTTAGGGGACCAGAGCCCAGCGGCCGGAGCCGGAGACAGGAGCAGCACGGCCTGCAGGCAGCCATGACACCCGGCACACGATCAGCCCGGGCTGTTCCCTGATTGGTTCACACTACAGCCCAAGGGGCGGAGCCGATGCGGTTTCGTTTCCGCTGTGCTCGCCAAACGTCTGGGAAGAGAGTTTGGCTGCGTTACGAAGACTGGAGAGGGTCAAACTTATCAGAATACGATTACCATGTGACTTATTTTTCTCTGCCAATGAGAGACTTAGATAATAATGCTTCTTGAGTGTATGTACTATCGTAATTTAAAAGAAAGTTCTTGAATAATATAAATAATAAGGATTTAATAACCAAATTCAGTGTATCAATAGAAGTTAGAGGAACAACACATTGATATTGTTTGGTTTTGTAAACTAAAAATTAAAATTTGTGTAGTGGAACGTGGAACGAAATTTCCCTTCTTTGTCCTGGTTTATTTTATAGAATTTGCATAACAAATATGTTACTACTAGAAAAGTTTGTGTTAATTGATTTGTAGTGTTAATATTGTTTTTCATTGACCCATATAATATTTTTACATATCTCTATTATCCTTTCTGATTTGTATTAATTTACATTGGTAATATTTAACAAATAATTTTTCCAACTCTTAAATGTAAAATATCAGCTGCTATTTAAAATAACTATTTTATACAGTGAAAAATGTTTTTAGATTTTAAATTTGATAACAACTTTAGGGGTTGAATAAAATTTCCCACCCCTGTTAAACCAGTCTTCTAGAAGTACTTGGCTCCTTGCATGAATTATCGATTGTTTTTATATTACATATGTTTCTCTTTTAAGGCTATAACCCCCTTACCCCAAAATAACACCACAACAAAACCCAATATATGCAAATGTAGTTTTAAGAATTAAAAAATGTCAAGCTATAAACAAGACAAATTATTTAGTGGCAAAGCAGCTTTCAGACAGCTTGCTTTCATGAGCTATTAGAAGGGATTAACATTAATTTTGTTTATAAGTATTTAGTGTTAAAGTAATTTTTGCTGTCATTAGCTCCTGTATCTACAGTGATTTTGAGCTAACCCAGTGAAATCTCTTATGAAGACAAATATATCAGAATCTATTTGCCATCATTCAACATGACAGGATGTACAGTGTAAGAATCCAAAATCTTCTTTCAGGACATGGGAACTATGTAATCATTTTCATTCTGTATTGCCAAATACATAGGCTTGGCGTTAGTCTCAGGTTGGTCTAATACCACCTTTTTACTTGGGTACCAGATCTTGTGCTTACGAGGCAGGCACACCCCACTGAGCCAATTCCCAGCCCTAGGTTGGTCTAATTTTTTTTTTTTTTTTTTTTTT